AACAAAGAAATAAAAAAAAAAAAACGAGCAAACAAAAATTATTCCAAAGATTGTCAGATGGAATATATTTGATTTAGTTCATCGAATTTGATGATTCCCGACGAAAGGGGTCGAGTTTTGTTTCTTTTTTCCTTTTAACTTTAGCTTTGCTCTCTCGTTGTGTATGGCTACAGAGAGAAACGAAGGAAAGAACTTTCACTTTGGTGAGGTCACCGTCGGACCTTAAATATTCCTTACCGTGACGCTTCACTTTCATGCGTTGGACTCGAAAAATCTTTTACTTTTTTTAAAATCTATATATACGTAGATCATCGATAAGGTCGATACATATATAAATACATACATATATGCATATATATACATATACATAATAAACGTAAATAAAACGTGTATATATATATATATATATATATATATATATATATATATATATATATATATATAAGTAAAAAAGAAATTAAAGAAAAAAAAAAGAATATACGTATATGTATATTCGTGCTTTACGTGAAATTCACTTAATGCATATTTATTTATGCAGTTTCTGCACTTTACAGGTTGGAAAGAAGAGAGAAAAAATAAAGTATAAACTATTATAAAAGTCATATAGGTCGTAAATACTCAGAATTCGTTCTTGAGCCTTGATATCGCTCGAAGGTAAGGTATGGGTTCTTGCTCGGTGTCTGGCGACCCGGTTATGCGGCTGGTTTCAACGTTAATTCGTCTGGCCAGTTTCCGATCTCGTTATTTCTGATGTCAGTTAATTGCGACCTCGAAGGATAAATCCTTTTTTTTTTCCCTCTCCTTTAGATTTTTCCCTCTTTTTCTCTTTTCTTTTCTTTTCTTTTTTCTTACCTTTCACAAATTACTCGAAAGAGAAAAAGATATATAACGAACAATTATCATTATTGTTTTCTCTTTCCGAATATTTGAAAATATCATCTCTAATATCTATATAATGAAAATAATTTTTGTTTTCATTTTTCTTCATTAATTCATTGAAAATATTAAATATATATATATATAAATATGTATATATATATATTAAATACTTGATTTTATTTTATTCTTCTTTGTAAAACTTGATTAAGATGAGATTGGTTGAACAGGCTTGAAGACAAGATCTGCGAAAGAGGTTTATGATCACGATTGACGACACGCTTTAGCTTTATTTGACAAATTATAAAGTCATTTATATTCTTTTAATAAATTTAAAAAACAAATCAACAAATAAACGAAGCGAATAAGTAAGATAAATCAATTAAGGATTTCGTTAGTTTAATAAATTTCATGTTTAAAAGAATAAAAATAAGGATCGTCTTTTTTTGTATTCTTTCGAAATTATTTTATATAATATTTAATATCGGTTCAACGAACGTTCAAAAGGGTATATACTTGGGACAAGAGTTCAAAGAAATGTAAAGGTTTGCAATGACGTAATTTAGCACAAGTATGTCTGACGCAATTGACGGTGGTGGCTCCTTAGACGGAAGTCTGAACGAGGCGTCGTTCGAATTTTAAATAGAACCAATCCAATCCACCATCTATCCCTTCGTTTCAACCATTCACCTTTTTTTTCCCATTACCTTTCTATTATATTATCAAAGTTCAGATAGAAATTGTTCGATACTTAATACCGATTCATGTAACTTTAATCTTACGATTAATCATAAGAAATAGAAAAAAAATTGTGTTGAATCGATTAAATAAGGAAACAAAAGAAAAAGAGAGAGATAAAAGAAAAAGAAATAAAGAAAAGGGAAAAAAAAGAAAAAGACATAACTTTCTAATCTTTTTTCTCATTATACGTTATATCTCAAATTAAATTTGTATTAAAAAATTATATTAAATTATATCTAAAAAAAAATATATATATATATATATATATATATTAAAAAAGTAAGGGTAAGAATTATTTAGGATAGTTATCATAGAAGATACAATTTATTCGTGTACAATTTTTTTTTTCTTTTTGATATAAAGAAGAATAAAAAATTAAAAATAAAACTTGTTACTTTGCAAAATTAATGCTTTAAATTAAGAATTTAATTAAATAATTCTTTTAGAAACTATTCTTTTAATTTACTTTAATTTCTAATATACATATATATATATATATGTTTTATGAAATTCTTGCATTTCTCTCTCTCTCTCTCTCTCTACTCTTTAAATAATAATAATAATAATAATAATAATAATAATAATAATAATAATAATAATAATAATAATAATAATAATAATAATAATAATAATAATAATAATAATAATAATAATAATAGTTAAAAGAATTAGAAAACGATCGATGAGTGCAACACATATGTATGTACGTAATGTAATGTGCAAGCTCGCGATTTATTTAACGGTACATTTTTCTTAGACGTGGCTGGCTACATACATATGTGGAAAGGATTGACGTGTTTCTTTCTCTCTTTTTCTCTCTCTCTCTCTCTCTCTCTCTCTCTCTCTGTTCCTCTCTTTCGACCTGGAAATTCCGCGAAAAAAGAGAAAGACTCGGAGGAATCATATGCGACGAAACGTACCAGGAGCATTCGAGGCATGCATATTCTTTCTTCGAAGAATATTTTATACGATGGGCCTTAACGAAGACACTCACCTTCTTTTGCATTCTCAGCCAACGCTGAGACAACTATTCTCGTAATCGTGTCGCAACTATAGAGGTATAACATTCGTTTATTTGACTTTAGTCCCACAATATATCTTAGGTATCATTTTTATTTTAAATATTTCATCTTCATCATCGTATATCCACACATCTATGTGTGCGTCTGTGTATAAAAATATTAAAAAAAAAAAAAAAATATATAAAATATATTTTTAAAATAAAAACTTGGCATAAAAAAAGACATTATAATAATCAATAACATATACATTTCATATTTAAGATATTTATTTTGAACATGATAAATGTCGTTCTTAATGTTGAAGGAAAAAAAAAGAGAGAGAATTTTTGTAGAAAAAAAAAAAAAAAAAAAAAGAAAAGAAAAAAAATTAATAACTGATAGATTTTATTATAAATATATTCGATTGGAAAATTTTGATAAAATAGAAAAGAAAGAAAGAAAAAAAAAATAAAGGGAGAGAAAAGAAAATGAACAAAGAGAAGAGATATTTTACATTAATACATTAATATACGATATATGAATGAAAATTTATAATATTTTTGAAACGAAAATTTCCATTGATAAATAAGAGATTAGAATTCTTGGTAATAATTTCTTTTCATTCTTTATTTCTTTTATCAGATTGATGGCCTTGACGGGAACTAGTTACGTCAGTGTTACTATTTTTTTCTCGCTTCGTATAATTCTCTTACACAATTATTAACTTCTTAGGAATATTGTAATTAAGTATAATCGTCGAAAGAATATATATGTGTGTATCTGTATATAACAACGATTATACTTAATTTTGTTCGTTTTAAATTGTTAGAATTGATAAAATGATAGATAATAAATTTTCCAATGGGTTTTAATTATCTTATGAAGGAAATTTTTCAAAAGAAAATATATCGATATTACTCACCGACACCTATCATCAGGCCAATAGCCATAATGATGACATTCCACCTTTTGAACATCTCGCTGCTACATTGGTTTACAACAATTCAAACGTCAATGTCAACACCTCGTATCGTATATCGTATAGTTCGATTATTAAATCCCAATTGGTTGGTCACGTGAAAAAAAAAAAAAAAACAAAACGAGATCTTATTTAATATCGTTCACTTCGATGACCTTCATCGAAGTGAACTATAGTTCACTTCTTCACTTCACTTCACTTCACTTCACTTCACTTATCAAAATCAATTCGAAATCAAACATTTCTCTCCCCACCTTCGTCCATCTCTCGCCAATAGTTTCATTACGATTGAAATATTTCGTAGAAAATAGAAGGCGGGTGAGTAGCAGGAACGAAAGAGGAAAGGAAAGATAGAAATAAACAAAAAAAAAAAAAAAGAAAAAAAAGAGGAAAAGAAAAATAGAGAGAGAGAGAGAGATATCGCCAATATTAAAAGAAGAGAGAAAAAAAAAAGGAAAAAAAAAATCACTCAACCGATAAGTAAAACGGTCGTCAACTTTCTCTTAGAGCTCGAATACAAATACGTACTGTTTATACACACACGAACACATACAAATACACGCTCTCTTTCTCCCTCTCTCTCACGCTTTTTTCTATTTTTTTCAAAAATTTTCGAAGTAGAAAAAATCAATGAAAAATCGTCGATTTCTCGGATCGTCGAGCGTCTTCTTTGATTTCGATCGATCACGCTGGATCATCGCTGTCAAACATTGAATCACTTTAAAAGTCATCTCTCTCTCTCTCTCTCTCTCTCTCTCTCTCTTTTACTCTGTCGATATTCTGTTAGTTGATCAACGATGATGATGACGATGAACAGATATCGGTTGAGATTCACTTAAACTTCAAATTCTTCGTTTATTTGTGCTCTCGTTAGACCTCTTTGATCACATTTTTTATAAATCACCAAATCAATTTTATATATATGTATATGTTTATATATATATATATATGTATGTATATTCGATATGGCCAAAACGATTCTTTTTTTTTTTTTTGTTTTCTTTTTATTCGATTTATCACGGCCACGTAAACCTCTAACAGGACGGCTTGCGATCGAGAAGCCGACTGTGAGCGCCTTCTTGCTCGTGGCCGGCCAAGGTGACTGCCAGCGCCGCCATTATTATGATCATGCTTCGAGAAAGGAGAGGACGATGGAAAGCGTAGAAAGAGTCTCTCTCTCCTGGTCTTTTCGCATTGGCGTCAATCATTCAATCAATTTCCTTGAATCTTTTTCCTTTTTTTCTTTTTAATTTTCTTACGTTCTTTCTTTCGGAGTAAAAAAAAAATTACAATTTGTTTGAGAAACTTAAAGAAATTTTTCTTAATAACATTGTTCGTATAAATTGCGGAGATTAGAGATCATAAATTAATTTGATTATCTATTCACACTGTCCAGTTTCTTTTTATATATATTTATTTTTTTTTTTTGAGAGAGAGAGAGAGAGAGACAAACTATATTCGATCTGTTTGTAAAAAATGAAAAAATATTGATAAGACTTTTTAGATTAACAATAGAGATATTGATTAGAACGTTAAAAGATTAATTGTATTAATTGTATTAATGAAAATGATGTACGTTTTTTCTTTTCTTCTCTTTTTTTTCTTTTTTCTTGTTTTTGCAATGTTGAAATTTATCGATAACATCGTTTAGACGAATGTAAAACTGTTAATTAGAGCGTTGATTGGATAAATTTATTATGGTTTTAAAATTAATAAGTCGACGCCTATGATGATACCTGCTTTCATACCCCAAGAGTACGTAAATCTTACATCTGAGAATAAAATTCTTTCTACTTTCTTCTCCCGTTGATCTAAAATATGTAATTAATATTATATATATATATATATAAACTATGTAATTAATAATAAAATAACACTATGTAATTAATTTTAACAAGTGTTTGTAATATTTTAATTATCATTCTTAAAGAATCTATGATATCGGTATTCTATTTGGTATTTGATTTATTTATTTGTTAATAAAGAGATCATTTGAAATAAGAGAGTACATGGAAAGATTATATTTTCCTGACGTAGTGGTAGTAATAAGAACCACGAATGCGGACAGGTAGCTGTGGTATTGTGGGATTTAAAAATATCATGCTTGCGTGTAATCAAGATTGAAAAATTGTGAATAAAAAGAAAAAATTATAAAAAAAAAAAAAAAGAAAAGAAATAAGGTCAAATGAAATTTCAATTTATTTTACAAATATATATATATATATATATATATATATATATATATATATATTGTGGATAAAGAATGAATTTCAAATTATTTATTCATTTTAATAAATGCACAAATTAAAAAAAAAAAAAAAAATTAAAAATTAACAAATTCATTAATTTATTAAATATATATATTCTTTTTTTTAATTGGAAATTGAAATATGTAGACAGAGAGAGAAAGAGAGAGAGATGAGACGAGACATTTTGTACAATTCGATATTTTTCGTAATTTTCGATAAAATTCGGTCAGATTGAATCGATGGTCCCTATCGAGACGCGTTTCATTTGATTTCTCTTGTATGGCATACCGAAATGTTGTAACCTCCTTTGATTGTCGGTAACTCTCCAAATTGAACGTACAATCTTTCGCGATTTCGATCTGTCTGTTTCATTGTGATGGCTGTCTATGAATCACGCCCAAGATTCGAACGTTGTACTCGTTTGTGTTTTTCATTGATGGGTAAACGTGGATTTCGTATATCGGTAATTAATTTACATTAATGAAATTAATATGATATAATTAATCAATTAAAATGATATTTTATAATATCATTTCGATGTTGGTTATATTAATTAAAAAAAAAAAAAGAAAAAAAAAACAAAAAGAAAAAACTAAATAAATAAATAAATAAATAAATAAAAGAAAAAGGGAGGGAGAAAGAATATTATAATTTTTAATTTAAAAGAAAAAAAAAGGTCATAATTTTTGTTTTCCCTTACGCTCGATTTTTAGATATTAGAAAATTAGAACGTACATACGTACGTAAAGTCGGTGATTTCGATGTAAACATAGAAAAAAAAAAACAAAAGAAAAAGAACACTCGTAGAGATAACATCGAAATATCATTTTAAAGATGGGAAAGGTCGAGAATGAAATTAAGGCTGCCGACGTATCGACCTTCGTCTCGTCCTCGAGGAAAGATCTTTTAACGAGAATTAAGAAAAATAATCCCAATGGAAGAGTCAATAAAAATCTTTCGTCCGATTTCACTTCCGGTTCGTTTCTCACCAATGGACTTCATAAATCGAATGATAACGATCACGTTTCTTCTTTTACCAGTCTTCCCTTAGAAAGTTATGGCTTTCCGTATTACAGGTGAAATATTAAATATTAACAAAAGTAATAAAGTAATTTCGAAAAAGTACAGTTTCCTTTTTGAGAATATTAATGTTTCTTCTTTTTTTTTTTTTCTTTTTCTTATTTCATTTTTTTTTTTTTTTTTTTTTTTTTTTTTTTTTTTTTTCTTTTTTCAATAGAAGTTACAAAAACGGTGGACATTTTCAAGATGCTGTATTGGTGAAGGATATTGGTATATCCTGTACATTATTAAACGAGAATATGTCGTCCCATAATTTCCCTAAAGACGTCATTGTAGAAAGTTATCTTGTTAAACGTTTGAAAACAGAGTACAACGATTTAACGGAAATAACAAAAAAGATTAGTTCTTATACGAACGACATAATACGTAATCTGATATTGAGAGATCGAAAGAAGAAAGAACAAGTATGTTAAAAATAAAATTAACGAAATAAATCATATAATTATGGGAAAATTATTAAATATATTATGATGTACATATATATATATATATATTCATTTAGATAAAATCATGCGAGCATAAAGTTTTAACCAAGGGGGAAATTAATGAAGGTTGTTTAAAATTAAGATTAAAAAGTGATGCTGAAGTTCGTTGTTTGTATCGAAAGGACGTATTTGATTCGTCGAGTAAGATGTTATTTATTATTATTGCTATAGTTGTTGTTTTAATTTTTTTTCTATTTTTTTTTTTTTTTTTTTTTTTTTTAATTTTATCTTCAATACTTCTTAATAATAATAATGATAATAAAAAAAGAAAATATTAAATTTATTAACAGATAAATGTAAGAATTTCAAATCGACGAGTCGACTTTCGAAGGAACGGAAAAGAATTCAAGGCAAATTATCCTCGAGTAATGTTTCAAATTTTGAAACAAAAAGAAATTCCTCGAACTCGGATAGTTCCTCCATAGTTTACGATTATTTAATGCTGAACAATAAAAGAAAAATTCAGAGAGAAAGAGAATTGATCGACAAGGAAACGAAACGAGAATTTTATCAAAATGTCGACGTAATTGAATGCGGGAAGGAAAATATCGAAACTCACGAATCGATAAATCTGACAAATTGGAAAGATATGTCAAGAGGGAAGTTGAAAAAGAAGAAATCTGTTTCAAAAATGTCGAGACACGCGGTTTGATATTATCTTCAATAAATATAATCAAAAGAATCTATGATACGAATATTAAAAATAATGTTTCTTTCTTTTTTTTTTTTTTCGTTCAAACAGATACCGAATGAAAAAGTCAAACGAAGAAATCGAAAAGATTATCGTTTAGGATTAGAAGAGAAATTCGATGATGATTCCACGATTATGTTTGCCAATGGACTTTTACAAAATGCAAATTTTCATACGATTAATATAAGAATCATAAACCATGAACAATATTGATTAGAAATTGTAGTTATAAGTATTATGTATATTAATGATATTATTCGATATTGTATAAATACATGGATATGAAAAATTTTACAATCTTTTCTAATTCGTCATCTGTCGATCGTTCTATGACGTTACTATCGATTTTTATAATCGACGGGAATTCCAAAGTGCCATCTCTTGGTCATAGTCACGTGACCAAAATGGATGAACGCAATAAGTCGTAAGAGTGCAGTCTGACAAGTGAAATCAAACAAGTTTTATATATAAGATAAATATATAGATTTAGTGTGATTAGAGATTGTTATCGTTTAACTTAAAATGTTATATTTGTGATAATAATTTTTCTAAAGTATTTCGTTCGATTATACGTACTCGCAAACATATATGTATGTATGGAAATTAGGTTATATTGTTAGGTTATGTTGTTAGGTTATGTTGAATCCAATTTGCCTTTTAGAATATTAAATATATTTTAAAATGGCCGTAAATTTTAATGAAAATGACTTTGATAAAATTTGGAAAAGTATTAATATTCAGGATGATTTATTTATTATCTGTGTTAGTAAAGAAAACGATACGTGGAAAATTTTGTTAAGTAATTTTAAAGATATTTGGTCAGAATGTTTGACATATGAAAAGATATTAAAAAGATCCAAGGTATAATGAATGATTTGTATTATGTTAAACTTTTATTTAAAGGTAGATTAATGTTTATTCAATAATTTTTAGAAATTAAATTCTACTTTAATCGTCAACGACAACGAACACATGGAAATTGTGTTAGAAACATTGATTGATATTCCAAAATATGCCACGGAGGTATCTTTAGATAATATTAAGTTATTAAGAAGCTTTGAAGGTGGTCGTTTTAAATTTGAAGTTAATTTTTCCAAAGGGACTATAGAAGAATTTTGGGAGAACGTAACAAAACCATTGTATTTATCTTCTATAGAACTTATGCGTAGGCAAAATATATTAATGAATTTGATTAAAAGAAAGGATCAAGAAATAATGGAGTATAAAGTTCAAGGAGCAAAATTAATAAGAAGTGAGGTTATGAAATTTAACAAAGATATACTTTATTATTAATTATAAAGTATTACATTGAAATATTTTTCTTTCTATAGAAAATATTGAGACAAAAGTGTTCGATGAAAATCAACTTGACAGAAATGTGATTGAAGTAAATGAAAATAATTACATAGATTCATTTCAAACAGTGGTAGAGTTTTACAATAAAACACATTCTAAACAATGTGTAAAAATAGAAAAAGGAAAGTATGTATTATGTATCATATAAATTTCTTAATTAATATTAACATATGAATATTAATCATTTAATGAAACATTTAAATTGTAATTCGATAAATTAAAATTTTCTCTTCTCAGTTCTGTTGTATCTATAAATGGAGTTAAACGAGATGATCTTAATGTTCCAAATACTTCTCGAGGTACTGAATATTCTACCATAAAAGATGAACCTGACCACGAATGTGATAAATCTAGTTTACAATCAGGTAGTAATAATAAAAGTAAGTGTAATAAGAAAAATAATATTAGTAGTATTAATATTGCTCCGATTGTTATACCATCGAAGAGAAGTAAAGATAGTCTTACCGACATTATTTTATAATGTTTACTATAATCAAAGCACATGATAATACAAAAAATATTTTAATCATACTTTAGATTTATACACATATATGTATATATATATATGTATATATACATATACACAATTGTATGTTATTATTTATTATAGTATATATATATATATATATATATATATATACATACAATTGTATTTTATTATTTATTATAAATAAAGTATTTATATTTGCAATTTATTTTGTAACATCGTCTTATGCGTGATTTAATGTATCGATACGTAGATATCATAAATATTGACCATAGATACGATAAACTTTTGTATTGTATCATGGGATAAAGAAGTTTTACGCTTTTATCGACTGTCGATAAAAAAGAAACGATAAAGTCGATAAAAGAAATTTAACATCTTCGATATGATTCAAAGTAGAGTTCGGATCAAGATCAAAGATATCTTTTGCGTTTATCGATTTTGCTGACGTCAACGAATACTACAAGATATCACAAGGATGCGCAGCAAGCGAGGTTTTTTCCAATCGTTAGCCGGTAGCATTTGCAAAACTACGATCCAGGTAGATATCTTTTTGCAATCGTTGGCATCTTCGATTGCATCATGCCTGCTAACATACACATGTAAAGAGTAGAAGAGAGAGAAAGAAAGAAAGAAAGATTGAGAGATAGAAACATAGAAGAGTATACACAGATGAGAAATATGAACAAAGAACGAGTATGTCCTGTATACAGAGTCCTTGACGTAGGCCTCGATCCCAGAGAAAGATGAACAAACTAGAGATCCGTGAGAGATATCACAGTACTTCCTTAACACGTTGATAGTTACGAACTATTTTCACGTGACTTTCCGTGGAGGTAACGTGTGCCATCCATAGACCGCGTTATTAGATTCATTGTAAACACTTATAAAACATGACTTGTGATATCTATAAAATCAACAAAACAATTACTTGACACGTAGATAGCTTTAAATATATTAAAATATGTGAGGTAAACACAAAATGTATCCTTTGTTATTATTATTATTATTATTAATCGTTTCTTTGTAATCTTAATAAGTGTACAATGAATTTTTTCAAAAAGTAAATAATTCCATATGATAACAAATGATTATTGAATAAACGACGAATCGTAAGGTTGTTAAATTTTATATTATAGAACAATCGTTAATTATTATTTTATATTATGAAATTGATTGATTGATATAATATTTTATTACTCTCTTCATTCGTCATTCATATATCTATTATAGTATGACAGTTTTTATATTATTGTCGTCATATCAATAATAATAAACGACAAAGTCGAATGAATAAAAAGAGTAGAATAATGAATGGTAACATTATCAAAGTCATAAACGGTCTATCTAAGCCGTCTGATACACCGATAGTCCACGATATAAAAGTTCCATTATCACCTACGTGATAATTACCATGTCGGTTGATAATATTACAGGAAGGATTTCGCGATTATGTTTCATTCGACATAAAATAATTGTAATTATCTGAAAATGAAACTTTCGATTCGACAGAAAGGAGGAGGGTGAAGAAGAAGGGATGAACCACAAGTGGCCAATGCGGCATTGAACTCATCAAAGTATTAAACGTTGTTCTCGATGATTATTTATTTTTCTTTTTTTTTTCTTTTTTTTTATTCTTTTTTTTTCTTTTTTTTTTTCTTTTTTTTTGTATTTGTCGTAACATCGACTCGCAATCTTATGTGATCTATATGTATATGTACTTTTTTTCTTCTTCTTTTCCTTTTTTTCTTTTTTTTTTTCTCTTTTCTTTTCTCTTATCAAATTACTCAATAACAGTCGCAACGTGTTCGCATTTTCAGACTTATTCATGATTATAGATGTGATCATTCGATTACGAGAGAGAACACGTTAATTGTTAAACATTTCCATGATTCATTTTTTCCCGTTCGTTTTTTATCAGAATCATCACTGAGCACGTGAGATTATTCTAACGGTAAAATCAAACGATCTGGCAACCTTGATAGTCTCTTGATAAAACGTGGAAATATTGTTAAGGTTTCCTCCTTCTGAATATTTTCACTTTTCTTCCTGCTTCTTTTTTTTTTCTTCTTTTCTTCCTTTTTCTTTTTTCTTATTTTTCTTTTTCTTCTTTTTCTTTTTTCTTTTTTTGTTCTATCATAACGAATACTATATTCAAGAACGATCGTAGAAAATTGAAGCATCCGATATTATATATAATATCTAGTTTTAGTATAGAAAGAGAGAGAGAGAGAGAGAGAGAGAGAGAGAGAGAGAATAGGACTTTCGTAATACCGAAAATTTCTACGTCATAATTAACAGTCGTGGAGCACGTTAAACGTCTACATCCTTCTTACCGTCGTTTCAACCGGGCTGCAATTTCCCATGAAATGTTAGACAGCTGTACAAGTGAACATATACATAGATCACACATATATATATATATGTACACACACATATACAATATATATGTATATACATTAACACGTATAGATAGGTCGTACCTATACGTTTTTTGCAAGACATTTCTAAAACAAGTACGAGCAGAGAGTACCAATAAAGACGTAAAGGAACGTAAGGTAATATATATATATATATATATATATATATATATTGTATATATGTGTGTGTGTGTATATGTAACAAGTGTTTCCTTTGACGCAATAAAGATTTGAAATTGACGCAAATGTTTCGATTGAAATATCAAGGATTCGTTCGAGAAGAAACAAAGAGAGTATATCTCTTACTTTAACTTCGGGCATTGAAATCTCCAAAGATTATCGATATCAATTCGGTATACATAGATGGATAGATAAATTATTTACTTATTTACATATAATATTTAAAGTAAATTCTTTGAAATTATTTCTTTTATTTTTTTTTTCTTTTTTTTTTTTTTTATTTGTCATCTCTGCGATTCTCTGCAATTATAAATTTGCACTTTTATCCTTATCTTCAATAGAAAATAAGCATTCTATCGTTTCTTTTAACATATCCGTATCCTTCAAACAAAGTTCTTATATATATATATATATGTATGTATGAATGTATATATGTATAATATTCTACGCGTAGGCGTCAAGATATGACGAATAGCGGTTCTCTCATTGCCTCGAAGAATATCGTACATTATCTTCATTATCATTGGATATTTTTCAGTGTCCACGCTCTCTTCAAAGGACATCAGCTTGGTTATAAAGGAAGGATGTCGGAGAGAAAAAAGAAGGCGCCGGCACCTGTCTCTCTTTCTCTTTATTTCTCTCTCTCTCTCTCTCTCTCTCTCTCTCTCTCTCTCTCTCTCTTTCTCTCTCCTTTACTCCTTTTCTTCTTCCTTCTCCTTCTTACCTCTCTTTATTTCTCTTTCATTAATTTACCATTTTTTTATGATCGATCAGCACCGTTGGCGCCATTCAAAACATCAATGATAATAACAGGTAAGATCGTTGAAGGATTTTATTTTTAAAATTATGAGAGAATTTCTGGATGAAAATATTCTTTTGAAATTAATCGTAAAATAATTCATATGGATTCTTATGTTATATTCAGATATGTAAAATTATTTTGTGAATTCTTCCTCTTTTTTTCTTTTCTTTTTCATCTCTCTCTCTCTCTCTCTCTCTCTCTCTCTCTCTCTCTCTCTCTCTCTCTCTCTCTCTCTCTCTCTCTCTCTCTCTCTCTCTCTCTCTCTATCTCTATCTCTTTTTCTCCCTCTTTTATTTGTTTGTTTTTCTCGTTGTTGTGGTGTTTCCGTTCATTTTTTTTTCTTTTCTTTTTTCTTTTTTGTAGCACTTTTTTCTTTACGTTCGTATATTAGCGAAATATTTGTCGAGAATAATCTCTTAAGAATTTTATGTTATTATGGTGATCCATGAAATTGTTTCTCGAGGCTTTCTTCTTGTTTTTTTTCTTTCTTTTTTTCCTTTTTTTTTTTTATTGCTCTTTTTTATATATTTTTTTCTTACACTCGCGAGAAATTGATCAAAAGTGATTCACCTTTAAGATACTTTTATTAATTATTCTTGTGAAATGTTCTTATTTTTTTTTTCTTTTTTATTTCTTTTTCGGCCCTTTTTTCTTCCACTTAATTTTTCGTACGTGCCAAAAAATCCGATGAAAAATAATCAACCTTCAAGATACTTCACGTTATTTCGTTACGATCGATACGAAAAGGCTTCGCTTTTATTTCTTCTAATTATATTTTTTCGTTCCACCTTTTTTCTGCAAGTTTTTCTTTTTTTTTTTTTTTATTTTTCTTTCTCTCAATTTTGTCACACTCGCGAAAGATAAATCGAAGCTAAGGCAACACACCGTCGCTTTCCCTCATGTCGCTCCCTCCCCTCCCCTCCCTTTTAAGATTCTTACGTAATTTTGCTTCCTTTTCTTTTTTATTTTCTTTTCCCCCTCCCTTCTTGTCTCTTCCTTCTTTTTCTCTCTTTTCTTTTGTCGTTGCTCCCTTTTGTTCTTTCTGTTGACTTTGGGGCAGTGGGCGAAGGGTGGAGGTGGGATGGGGGGGCCAGTGGTGGTGGTGGTGGAGGGGGTGGGTGGGGTTTCATGAAAATTTCAAGCAAAATCCGAGAAGCCAACGTTATCCCTTGAACGTTATTAATCTTGGTGAGAGGTGGTCCCACCGCGTCGTTTCTCATTGTACGTCTCATCGAGCGGAGCACTTGGCTACCGGCTTGGAAACCTGTCGGCAACCGCTTTTTGTGCACGGTAGCAGATATTATATGCTCGTCGGTCACTTTCTTTCGACGCGGCTCGTCGTACCAAAGAGAGCCCCACGCGCTTTTTCAGTCATCCACAGGAGGCCACATTGCTCCACATCCTTTGTTTAATCCAACACTTTTTCAAAATCCTCCTTATACCCGCATTCGCGAATTAAAATTGTAACACACGGGATTTGATTTACTTCTTCTTTCTCCCCCCCACCGCGCGCCTCCTTTTTTTGTGTGTGCTTTTTTTCCTTTATTTTTTCTTTTTCACTTATTTCCTTCTTTTTTTTTTTTTTTTTTTTTTTTTCTTTTCTTTTAGATTCTTCTCAGATATATGCGCGAACTGTCGCAAAAAACTTCTCCG